CTGAAAACCATCTTAGCGTAATTTTGGCATAAACCGAGCTGCAGAATAATAAGTATGGCACTTAGAAATTAGGTAAAATTCATTCTCAAGCTGGAGCTCTCTCTTTCTTTCCAAGGAGACATATTAACCCTTGCCTTTCTTCCAAAGTTTCAGTGCTGAAATAAAACAAATACAAATAAATAAATAATAAAGAAAAATTTTTGGCGCCATCTATTGAGCAAAAAGAAAGATTTCAAAATGGGATATGCCCTTTAAACACTTTCAAGGATAAGACTGGAATTTTAATTCATATCCTAAAATTAATACATTTTGATAGAAGTTGAAGCAGCTTTTGGAAGAATCATAATTCACCAAATTAAAAGTGTTTAGGGATAATTTTTAATAGAACAAAAGTTGCAAGAAAAATTGAGGGATCAACAATGATTAGTGAAGGAAGCTTTACAAATTTTTCCTTTTCTGTTATAACATTCATACTCTTTAATGAGATTAAGCTGTATTAGTTACCTGTGCATACCATACGAGCCATATATGTATGCTAAGAAGAAATGTTGTGAATTGCTCCAAAATTAAAACTTGGTACAGAACTATTATGGCGACAGGGTAGCAAGTGGTATAACAATGAGGAACTGAATTTCCTTTCAGACTTCCATATTCGGTACTAGGCTGGGATATGGACAATCGGAACGGACTGACTTGCAGGAGGTCTGCTTGCACTAATTTTTGCTTGTATTCAATTCATCACATGTTTTCAGGGCTGACCATACTGCCTCGTTCCTCACTTAATCTTAACTGTGGACCCTAACACCAGCGTTACTGCAGGATAGTTTTGCTTTAACACGGGATCTTTAAGGATTGAACAATGAATTTTGTCAATGGGAGAAAAACTTCGAAATTATGAAGAATACAAGAAATTTTGTAGTTAATAAAAAGATAAAATGGTTTGACATCACATTGTTGTTGCTCTTAACCGGAGAATATTGTTTAAGGAATGATGCTGTCATAATAGTCAGTAATAGAGAGGAGAGAAAGCTGCGGCAATAGACACAGCTTTCAAACTCTTTAGTTAATAAGTAAGAGAAAAGTGTTAAAAAAGAAAATTTAAGGCACTAAAAACTTAAAAGTAAAAAGAAGTCCTTCTTACAAAAGCATTTACAAAGGAGAGGCAAGGTTCCTTCAACTTCGGAAACAGTTCGAAGTCACAAGAACTCATGTCGGGTAAGTAGGGAGAGTGTTCCAGAATTTCTCACTGCCACCGTCGCAAAAGAAGAGTGACATTGTTTGCGACATGGCAACGAGCGTTGTCATGCCATACGATAGGGAGATTGTTGTGCAAATAAACGTGGACGTTTGCGCCGCATAACCGGACGCAAATGGTGCTGTAAAAATCGGCAATAGTAATCTGTGTTGACAGTTTGTCCTTCAGGTACAGCATGTGTAAGAATCACACCGTCCCAGTCGTATGCCATAATCAGCATAACCTTCACCCGACTAGGTTCCTGTCGAAATTTCTGTCGACGTGGCGAACCTTGGTGACGCCATTCATTTGATTGACGTTTCGTGCCCATGTCTCATCAATAGCGACAATAGGCTGCAGAAATGCGTCTCCTTCATTTCGGTATCTCTCCAAGTGAGTGCCAGCCAGTGCATACTGGTGCCATTTCTGTACTTCGATTAGTCGACGTGGAACCCAGCGGGAAACATTTTTCCTCATGTTAAGAGATTTCTTCATTATGCGCCACACCGTTTGCTGACTCAGACCAACCTGTAAGGATAATTCTCGGACAGTCCATCGGCGGTCTATGGTAAGCAGACCGCTCAGGATGTCAATCTGCTCTTGAGGAATGGAGGGCCGATCTGTGCGTTGCAAATACGCAGTCTCATTCCGACCCGAACGAAATGCTTGAACCCATCGTGCTACTGTCTTGTACGGTAAAGCATTTGTGCCACAGGCTTTTACTAATCCTCGATAGCATTCTGTTGCATTTTTGCAACGGGCAACCTCGATTTTAAGCCACGACCGCTGATCACCATTTGAAAACATGCTTTTAGAGCGATGAAAACGAAACTCCTCACTTTAACGCCACACAACAACTACCCTTTTAAGCAGATCGACTGTTTTTTGCATTCTACATATCGACAACAGCGCCACCTCACCGCTCCCATATCCTATTTGCGCATGCCCGCTCTTCTGCGAGTTTCAAGGTTAAGTTGCCACTATTTAATTTACAACCCCCGTATTTAATATACATAATCAGACTATTATTTGGTACACGGTGGAAATATCCTCTAATATTAGTTAACACTAATCTGTCTTCTCCTTGGTTCATGTTTCTCTTAGACCAAAAGTTTCTGCAAATTCAGAGTCTAGGAATGGGTTAAAAAACGAGGCTCTCTGGCTAAAGGAATGGATGCCTTCACGAAAAGCTTTCAAAAGAAACTGGCTCATATTCACGTTACACGTAGTGAAAACCACGAAACCTAACCACATAGGGAGCTTGTTCGCCTGCGCTCGAAACCAGGTCGAACACTATTCAGTGGTCTTAATCACTCGACCACTACAAGGTTTGCGAGATATTTATTCTTGGGAATTTGTTATACTGAAAGAGAGGTTGCCTCAATTTTTTTAAGCATCACCAATAGGCTATCGATTATTTTGAGTAGTACCCTAATTTTTTACTTATAATCCACCAGAAGGAGATAAATAAAGTGTTTTTTAGTTCTAATATGATTGTGTGTCAGGGTGATACTCGCCAACGTCAAAGGAACAGCTCTAGGCGAAGGATGGTTAGATAGGCAAACGTGTAAGGATAGTTTAATAACAAAGTTATAATATTTAAATGAAAAGTTAAGTATTTGAACTCACTGACTCGGTACTTAAATTTAATTAAATGAAACTTTAGTTATTTTATATATTCAAATAACTAGGAAATAAGGAACAAGTGTAAATTTTTACATAATTAAATACAATGTTTCACAACAATTTCTTTGAATGTCAGCAATGACTGAATGAATAAAATCGCTGAAAACTGTAAACTTTTGTTCAAATAAAATAAGCAGAGGAAAGGGCTGCTACATAATATATTTTGTCATACGCAAAGCAAACTCGAAGGTGGTTTGTCTCATCCTCTTCCATCTCCAAGCCACATAATTACCGTATCGTAAAACGTATAGTCCTTGGTTCCTCTGAGTGTCATGCTGAAACCACTTCAAACCAAAAATCTGCAGTGAAGTAAGATGTTGCGCGGTGGTTAATGCATAAAGAACTCTGACTTCTTTAAAATGCATTGTACTGTCGTGACTTATCTCATTTGCTTGATTGTAACATCAGATCAAGTCAATAAATTTTATCTCGACCAGGAGGCAAAGGTTGCGTCTGTAGCAGCAGGGCGTAGGTCTGGCGACAAATCGAATTTTTCTAGCTTCGTCCTAGTTCTATTCTTACCTCCATGGTCCCAGTCTTGGAGGAGAAACCCTGGAAGACGGATATGAGGATTTCTCGCCCGTCTTTTTTGCCCTACACCAGACTCTCAACATTCGTTTTCAATATCTGTGTAGTATGTATAGAGTATTTATCATCTATGTTTCTGTATAATGTCTGCATTAAGTATTTAATACCTGTTTCAGCATTTGTATTTATCTGTGAAATTTCATTTACTTAGTATCTATTTTTTAGTTATTTAATATCTGTGTAGCAATCTGTAAAATGTATAGTCTAATATCTTCACCAGCATATGTAGCATCTTAATAAACTCCCCATGCGTTTCTTGTGGAGCGCCGGGGGTGTTGTACTAAACAGTTGCGGGATCCGTACAATACCCGATTAGTCTATGTAAGCCGCCCGGGTGTCCGAACCCTCTTTCACCTGTCATTTACAACAGACTATCGAAAGAACTTTCGGCTTGCCAGTATTTTAAGTCCCTCATGCCGCAAAAACACTATACATGCATCTATGACTTCTGCAAGATTCCGGCAAGGCAGACAGCTCATTTTCCACCATGGCTGTATAAAAAATGTTAAAGCATTTTTTTTTAAGCATTGCAGCAGAGACAGTTCAATTGAAAAATGTACCAGGATTATTTGTCCTTTTCTCAAGTTATTTAAAATTAAGTTTGTTGTCATTGTTAATTTATTTAGGGCGGATTGTTTTTTTCCCTTCATTGGATTTAAATAATGTAAAAAGATGCAGCAGTGTAGTTTATATTTTAATAAGCTATTAAATTGAGTTAGAGGAACATATATATGGTACATTTGCTGGCTTATATTAAGTAATTTATTGGAAGTAATAAGCATGTCATAAAAATTCATTTTATTTCGTCCAAAAAGTGTCATTGCATAGCAATAAGATATCACCACTTATCATTTGGTAAATACTATATAGCTTTTAAATATCAATAATTAAACTCTTTTTACGCATTGGATATAAGCCTGCTCTTTGTTGCTACGCGAATCATTGGTTAGCTGTAACAAATGCTTCTTTTCAAAAAACAGACTGAACCTCGTCGTGATGACTGTATGTCAGCTCTTTTTTTCACGCGAGGAAACTAAGCTTATATACCTTAAATTTCGGGCGTATACAAGTAAAAATCAATTACTTTGTTTTATTTTGCTTGAACTAGAAATGGGTTTCGTTTTTTAAGTAAGTAAACAAATAATTTCGTCCTTTAGTTTTATCTAAATAAGTGCGTTTTACATTTTGTTTATAACGGAAATAAAAAATTTTCTTTTTAAATGTAAATTCTTTATTAAATTAAAACATCAAAAATAAATTATCTTACTTAAATTGAAAAAATAAGAATTTAGCCTCAATTACATGGACCCAAATGCTTTGTGTTACCAACTAGACCGAATGGTTGGGGTTCTATCATAATAATATCTCCCTCAATTATGGAAATATCTTCACTTAAGCAGAGTTCTTTCTGTTAACACTGCTTTAAGATTTTCAAATGAAGTGCATAGGAAACAGCTTTAAATTATTATATACTGATAGTCTTTTTTATTAGTAGGAGAAACAAGTATGAAAGCCCTTACTTTCAAACCAAGGACACCCAACTTTCAAACCAAAGACACCCAACATTTAAGAGCTACTTATGTTTAGAGAGGTAAGTGCATGGACTTTACAAACTTTCTCAGGAACTTAATTTTTAAGTACTGATTATTATCGTTTATAAAAAGGTGACAATCACCTCCTGCCTGAACTTGAACGTTTATTTTTTCGCACCACTCCTCGAGAGCTTGGAGTTCAGTGCACGATATCTCTTTAACGATGGTTTCTTAACTTTGGGGAAATAAAAGGTCTGAAAGAGAAAGTCAATATCCGGCTCAGAACCCTTATCTTCTATTAATAGATATTCAGTGTTTACGCTTCGAAACGCAAAGTGTTTCTTCTTTTTATCAAGTCAGATAGAATGCGCTTTTTGATCATTTTAAGTGCTTCACAACTTAAGAATAAGCACGGATTTTTAATGGAGACTTTTATCACTTCGGCGTCTGAGAGTGGCAACTGATTATTTCAGAAGATAGCATCCCCAGATGTTGGTTATTTCAGAAGCAAAGAATTATTTCAAAAGCACAGATATTTTTGCTAAAAAATCCCTTACGATTTTATTTTTCCGTTGATGTAATTTATTATCCCCGCAAAGTTCCTTTTCAATAATCTAGCGCTGTTAAACTGGAAAGATTTAAACGAAAATGGAAGTATAAACGCAGCTTTTGCTCTTATTTTCCGTTGTGAATTTGTATAACTATATCGAAGACGTTTAATGTAAAAGTGCAAATAAAAACACTGATGTTAGTGCTTCAGGAAATTACAATTTTTGATGTGAATGAAAGATGCATCTGTTTTGTTAAAAATTTCGCAGTATCTCTTTTTGGATATGATTTCGATATAGTATATGCTGCTTATTTATAAAACAAAAGCATTCGTGGATGGATATCATCAGAGAATTTATCTTTACGAATAATTAAAATGCACAAAAGGTGAGTACTAACACGTAATTTCAGTATAAGTGGTTGACATTCAAACTTATTTTGAATAATTTCAAATAATTTTTATTCATAAAATTTCTCATGATTTTTACAGATATTATAGTAGCAACTTTAGATGCATAGTGATTTTAAATCTGTTTGAATGAAATAAAATTCGTATTTATTGCGAAGTAACTTGAAAACATGTTATAAAACAGGTTTTAAAAATATTACTGATATCTTACAACTTGGTTTTCTTTCATAGTTCTCGGTATAGTTAATTGTATAATGCTGATAAGATTTTGAAATATGTTCTATCTAGCATTCCGAACATTTCGATTTTTGGCTCATTTGTTATAGGCTATCAAGCTGTCAGTCACAATGGTAGCTAACATCAACGCAGAGAAAACGATCAATCACGCATATCCATTCGCCATGTTCAGTTACCACTGATAATGCAAAATGCATTAATGATTTGAAATAACCAATCTGTCATTCTGTTTTGGAGAATCAGCTTGTCTGATAATAACCCTACAATATGAAATATTTTCTGTACGATAAAACTACAACTACCATTGTTATTTTAGCCTGTAATGTTTACATTTATATATCTGCTTTGCGATTCAATGAACACAGTGCGTTTCGTGATACTAAACCATTAGAAAGGCAAAGTCAAACGATATTAAAAAAGTATAACTGCTTTGCAAATGACTTCTCTTTTCAAATTCATTTCGAATTCCCTTATACACACAATATTGTTTAAATGCGTATTCTAAAAACATTTTCGGCAGTTGGGTTTTTGGAGGACATGTATAGTGTATTTCGTATGCATTTTTAATAAGAGTAAATTTATGCAGATGAAGTATTCGGAGACTATGCGATGCAGGATATAGTTCAAAGTCTTTTTCAATCAAGCTAATTTTAACTATTATACTATCGACATTTTACAGCTTTATCTACACAAACTGACTTGAGTACTTCATTATTCAGATAAAGAGGTTATAGTAGTTGAGCCTTCGTATAAAGTAGAGTATACGTTTTCGAAGCCTTATTTAGTTCGAATATAAAACTGAATATGTGATTAATTTTTTACATAACTTTAAAACTATAGTGCAGGTTAGCCTGTAACTTAATTTAATTCGATTATAAAACTGATTATATGATCCTTTCTTTTTTTTTTTTTTTTTTTCCATAACATTAAAGCTATAGTGTAGGTCCCTACCCATTCATATATCTCATACATTGAGTGAATTTGGGTGCTGTTGTCATTATCTTTTATAATATTATGCGAAGCGATGTTCCGTGAGGCATTTTTTTCAAGATAACAGGGTTCTCCATTTATTTATTACTCAACTATGCCTGTTTGTATTATAAATTTTGTTTCTGTTCTTTTGATGATAACAGTTGATTTAAGCCCATTTACGATTTGAAGAGCGTATTTTGACTTTATTTCTGTTCTCTTCAACATAATACCTAATTTAAACCCATTTATGACTAAAAAATGTATATGAATGGGTAAGGATTTACGAGCCACCCTGTATACACTATTTTATTTTTGTTTACAATGACCTGACTTCTCAGAGCCCAGTTTGTAAATGATTTTTGGGTGACTAAATAAAATTATTTTAAAGAATATTTTTTTGTTATGTAAAAATCCATTCACTTATTTACGTTATGTTTAATTTATATTATTACAGTTTTGATTATATTGTACTTTGTATATTAATTTTTATATTACAAACATCATACAGTTTTCTCTACATAAACTGAGCTTATTAATTTACTCTTCAGTGAACAATATCCTAGTAGTTAAAGCTTCGTTTAAAACAAAATATACATGTTCAATTTTTTAATTATGTTTTTTTTTAACTGATACGTGTAAATCATTTTCATTATGTGTTTATTATCTTTAGATCCTTTGGGAGAGGGAGAAATTTAGTTTCAAAGAAATGCAAGTAAATGAAGGTTACATTGTAAGGGATATAGGTTAAATTTACAGCCAACAAAAAGAATGCGCACAAAAACTAAATGTTAAAGCAATTAATAGTAAGCTGCAGAACCATTATTGTTTTTATCCTCGCACTCACTTTATCAAAAGACGTTACACGTTACTCACTTTGATTTTTATTAATTGCTATAACATTTCAGTCTAGAATTATTTACAATATTTACACTACTAAATTAAAATTTGGAGTTACTATTCAAGTTTTAAAAAGAGTATATACATGATTCCAGAAGTTTAAAAAACAAACCATTTCAAGTTCGTTATACATATATTTTTTTTACTTGAGGTAACAAACTGAAAGTATTACAAGCTTATAATCGAAATTTTATTTTAAAAAAAAGTGATAACATGATGATTACAGACAAACATTAGAAGATTAATTTATGAGAATAATCAACAGCAACGAATGTGACCTAATGTAATGCCCGATTTACTCTGCATTAAAGGCTGAGAATACGAGGCCTGCTTCTAAATAAATAATAAAAGGATGTCTTCCACTAAGAACAGATATACTTTCTCTTTCGAGATGCAAAATATCTAACAATGGACGGGCCAGACAGTATAGTGGTTAGGAGAGTCTACAGGGTACCGAAGGGCCCGGGTTCGAATCCCGGAGAAGGCATAGCTGTAATTGTTCATCCCTTTGTAACGGTAGCACATCTATTAAGTGCTTCCATAATAAAGCGTCCACGATTTCCAACCTTAATAGCGGCAGAGCTGATGTCGGCTAAGTGTCCCCCAAGGGGAGGGAAAAATTTGACAATAGTAAAACTCATAGCTCGGAATTTTGACTCGACATCATAGACTATATTTACTGTTTACAAAATATCATTATTTGGCAAATAATTAATTTTGCTTACAATAAATTTTTAAACCTTAATAAAAGCGTAAAAAAAACTAAACTAAAAACAACTAAAGTACTAAAAATTCAAACAAAACCACAAATGTAAAAAACTATGTAAAAAAATATCATCTGCAAACCATGGAGAAAATATTTCGATAATATCCTCAATCTTACATTTTAATTACGTTCGAACTGTAGTATAACACGCTCATTCGTTTGAGATTAAGAACAATAATTTTTCAAAATGTTAATTCCGATTGTTTAATACGTATTCCTAATTTTCAAAAAAATATGAATTAGTAAAATCAAATGTTTCCTGATCTGAAATTTCAAGATGCTTACAGTCACTTTTTGCAGATAACAAAATATGCAGAATCCACTTTATGAAGATTCAGAATGTTATTTTCAAATTACTCGAATTTCCCAACATCAGTGCTGTTTTTGGTGCCTCGATATCCGCTATGGTAGGATTTCGCAAAAAATTTCGTTTTCCGAGTGTTGCGTTTTCTCAAAATTTCATCAGCATCAGAAGAAAAATAATCGAGGTCAGCATTTCTCATTTTAATTTCTGTCACAGTATTTTCATCACTTGGATCTCATGGTAACAACATTTTCATCACATTATTGAAAAACTCCATTATCATATTCTGAAAATATTGAAATGCCTTTTATTTTTCCCTAGCCATTTAACGATAGGCAAATCCTCTTTATCACTCTTTGCTAGATCAAAATACGGAACATAATTTCGGCTGATTGATTCTGTAACAAGTCGTTGAAGCATTTCTAGAACAAGCATTCAATCAAGAAGTGAAACATTATCATCGATGTGTTTGTCGTACTTTTCCAAAATGTTTAAAACCAGCTGCTTCCTGTAATGGCACTGCAAATTTCCGATCACACCTCCATCCTTGAATAACAAAAATTTCAAAATTTCCGTCTTAGCAAAAAGAGTGTGGTGTAATGGCCGAAACCGCTACACGAAAGCCCAGTTGTGATACAGGGTTTAAATGAACCTAACTCGAGTTATAACAATAACATGAATTTTAATAAAATAAAAACATTAGCGATTACGGTTCATGATGATGTACGACTTGGATATATTCAATCCTGTAATTTCAGAAATCTGTTAAATGCGCTATCGCTATTAACATTATACACGAGGAGTGATAGTTGTAGCGGGCCAATATGCCCATAGCTCCAGCAGAAGAGTCCTGGCTCTTCTCAGTAACCACCTCACTTTCTCGCTGCCAAAACTTTTTCTCTCTCACGGTGTCGTTACCTACGCT